ATAAGGATAGAGTCTTAAAAGAAGCCAGAGAAAGATGATCACATACAAAGGAAAATCCATCAGGCTGTCATCAGATTTCTTAACAGAAACCTTCAGGCCAGAAGGGAGTGGCATGATGTATTTAATGCAATGAAGCAAAAGGGCCTCACACCAAGAATACACTACCCAGAAGATTATCATTTAAATTTGAAGGAGGGATTAAACAATTTCCAGAAAGCAAAAGCTGAGAGAATTTTCCTCCCACAAACTGTCTCTACAGTGTATTTTGGATGGACTGCTCTAGATGGAAGTGTTCCTAAGGCTAAATAGCTGTCACCAGAGGAAATTAAATGCAAAATTAAATTAACCATTCCCAAAGTCACTCATGGGATAGACAAAGAGTACAGAATATGATACCTAATATATAAAGAATGGAGGAAGAAGAAAAAGGAGAAAAAGAAAAGAACCCTTAGATTGTGTTTGTAATAGCATGCTAAGTGAGTTCAGTTAGACTGCTAGATAGTAAGGAAGTAACGCTTGAACCTTTGTAACCATGAATCTAAAGCCTGCAATGGCAATAAGTACATACCTATTGATAATCACCCTAAATGTAAATGGTCTGAATGTACCAATTAAAAGACACAGAGTCACTGAATGGATAAGAAACAAGAACCATCTACATACTGCCTTCAAGAGACTCACTTCAAACCCACGGACATACACAGATTGAAAGTGAAGGGATGGAAAAAGATATTTCATGCAACTAATAGGAAGAAAAAATCAGGAGTTGCAGTACTTGCATCACAGAAAAGACTTCAAAACAAAGAAAGTAACAAGAGACAAAGAAGGACATTACATAAGGACAAAGTGGTCAATCCAACAAGAGGATATAACCATTATAAATATCTATGCACACAACATAGGTGCACCTACATATGTGAAACAAATACTAACAGAATTAAAGGGGGGAATAGAATGCAATGCATTTATTTCCAGAGACTTCAACACACTATTCACTCCAAAGGACAGATCAACTAGACAGAAAATAAGAAAAGAGAGAGCAGCACTGAACAACACACTAGAACAGATGGACCTAACAGATATCTACAGAACACTCCATCCTAAAGCAACAGGATACACATTCTTCTCATGTGCACATGGAACATTTTCCAGAATAGATCATATACTAGGACACAAAAGGAGCTTCAGTAAATTCAGAAGGATTGAAATTGTACCAACCAGCTTCTCCAACCACAAAGGTATGAAACTAAAAATAAATTATGCAAAGAAAACAAAAAAGCCCACAAACACACGGACTCTAAATAATCAATGGAGCAATGACCAATTGAAAACAGAGATCAAGCAATATATGGAGACAAGTGAAAACAACAACTTAACACCTCAAAACATGTGGGACTCAATAAAGGCTGTGCTAAGAGGGAAGTATACTGCAATACAGGCCTACCTCAGGAAAGAAAAACAATGCCATATGAAGTCTAAACTCATAGTTAATTAAATTAGAAAAAGAAGAACAAATGAGGCCCAAGGTCAGTAAGAGGAGGGATGTAATATAAATTAGAGCATAAATAAATAAAATCGAGAATAAAACAATAGAAAGAATCAATGAAAGCAGAAGCTGGTTCTTCGAGAAAATAAACAAAACAGATAATCCATTAGCCAGACTTAGCAAGAAAAAAAGATAGTCTACACACATAAACAGAATCAGAAATGAGAAAGGAAAAGTCACTATGGACACCACAGAAATACAGAAAATACAAAGAATTATTAGAGAATACTATGAAAAATTATATGCTAAAAAACTGGATAACCTAGAAGAAATGGACACCTTTCTAGAAAAATACAACCTTCCAAGGCTGACCCAGGAAGAAGCAGAAAATATGAAAAGACCAATTACCAGCAAAAAAACTGAATTGGTAATCAAAAAACGACTTAAGAACAAAACTCCTGAACCAGATGGCTTCATTTCTGAATTTTACCAAACATTTAGTGAAGACCTAATACCCATCCTCCTTAAAGTTTCCCAAAAAGTAGAAGAGGTCTATGAGGCCTCATTCTATGAGGCCAGCACAGAATCCCAAATCAAGCAGAGACAAAAAAAAGAAAACTACAAACCAAGAAACCTGATAAACATAGATGCAAATATACTCAAAAGAATATTAGCAAAGTGAATTCAAAAATACATTAAAAAGATTATCATCCACCTTGACCAAGTCAGATTTATTCCAGGGATTCAAGGATGGTGCAATATTTGAAAATCCATCAACATCAGAAACCAAATCAACAAAAAGGACAAAAATCACACGATCATCTCCATAGATGCTGAAAAAGCATTCAACAGGATTGAACATCCATTCATGATAAAAACTCTCAATGAAATGGGTAAAGATGGCAAGTATCTCAACATAATAAAGGCCACATATGACAAACCCATAGTCAACATACACACTTCAAACCCAAGGACATACACAGATTGATACTTAACAGCGAAAAGCTGAAAGCTTTTCCTTTAAGATCAGGAATAAGACAAGGATTCCCACTTTTATTCAACAGAGTACTGGAGCTCCTATCCACAGCAATCAGACAACACAGAGAAATAAAAGGCATCCATATTGGTAAGGAACATATTGAACTGTCACTGTTTGCAGATGACATGATATTGTACATAAAAAACCCTGAGGAATCCACCCCAAAACTATTAGAACTAATAACTGAATTCATCAATGTGGCAGGATGCAAAATCAATACACAGAAATCTGTTGCATTCCTACATACTAATGATGAACTAGCAGAGAGGGAAATCATAAAGACAATTCCATTCACTATTGCATCAAAAAGAATAAAATACCTAGGAATAAACTTAACCAAGGTGGTAAAAGACTTATACCATGAAAACTAGAAGACACTCATGAGAGAAATTAAAGAAGACACCAATAAATGGAAACACATCTATGCTCATGGATAGGAAGAATTAATATTTTCAAAATGGCCATCCTGCCTAAAGTAGTCTACAGAATCAATGCAATTCCTATCAAAATACCAATGGCATTCCTCAGCAAACTAGAACAAATAGTTCTAAAATTCATATGGAACCACAAAAGACCCTGAATAGCCAAAGCACTCCTGAGAAGGAAGAATAAAGCTGGGGGATTATGCTCCCCAACTTCAAGCTCTACTACAAAGCCATAGTAATCAAGACAATTTGGTACTGGCACAAGAACATACCCATAGATCAATGGAACATAATAGAGAGTCCAGATATAAACCCAAGCATATATGGTCAATTAATATACAATAAAGGAGCCATGGATATACAATGGGGAAAAGACAGCCTCTTCAACAGCTGGTATTGGCAAAACTGGACAGCTACATGCAAGAGAATGAAACTGGATTATTGTGTAACTCCATACACAAAAGAAAACTCAAAATGGATCAAATACCTGAATGTAAATCATGAAACCATGAACCTCTTAGAAGAAAACATAGGCAAAAATCTCTTGAATATAAACATGAGCAACTTTTTCCTGAAGTATCTCCTTGGGCATGGGAAACAAATAAAAAGTGAACAAATAGTACTACATCAAACTAAAAAGCTTCTGTACAGCAAAGGACACCATCAGCAGAACAAAAAGGCATAGTACAATATGGGAGAATATATTCATAAATGACATATCCGACATGGATTAACATCCAAATTATATAAAGAGCTCACGCACCTCAACACACAAAAAGCAAATAACCTGATTAAAAAATCAGCAGTGGATCTGAACGGATACTTCTCCAAAGAAGAAAGTCAGATGGCCAACAGACACATGAAAAGATGCTCCACATCACTAATCATCAAGGAAATGCAAATTAAAACCACAATGAGGTATCACCTCCCACCAGTTAGGATGGCCAACATCCAAAAGACAAAGAACAACAAATGTTGGCAAGGTGTGGAGAAAGGGAAACCCTCCAATCTGTTGGTGGGAATGTAAACTAGTTCAACCATTGTGGAAAGCGATATGGAGGTTCCTCAAAAAACTAAAAATAGAAATACCATTTGACACAGGAATTCCAATGTTAGGAATTTACCCAAGATCTCAGATTCAAAAAGACATATGCACCCCTGTTTATCGCAGTACTATTTACAGTAGCCAAGATACGGAGGCAACCTAAGTGTCCATCAGTAGGTGAATGGATAAAGAAGACGTGGTACATATGCATGATGGAATATTATTCAGCCATAAGAAGAAAACAGATCCTATCATTTGCAACAACATGGATGGAGGTAGAGGGTATTATGCTCAGTGAAATAAGCCAGGCAGAGAAAGACAAGTACCAAATGATTTCCCTCATTTGTGGAGTATAATGACAAAGCAAAACTGAAGGAACAAAACAGCAGCAGACTCACAGACTCCAAGAAGCGACTAGCATCTACCAAAGGTGAGTGGTGGGGGAGGGTGGGAGAAGTGGATTGAGGTGTATTATGATTAGTGCACTGTGTGTGTGTGTTCACAGGGAAGACAGTGTAGCACAGAAAAGACAAGTAGTGACTCTGTGGCATCTTACTATGCTGATGGACAGTGACTACAATGGAGTGTGGGGGAGGACTTGATAATATTGGTGAATGTAGTAACCAGCATGTTTTTCATGTGAAACCTTCATAAAAGTGTATATCGATGGTACCTTAATGAAAATAAATAGATTTTTAAAAATGCAGTTCTGCCATCACCCGTAAGTCTCAGAAACTACAAATATACTTAGAACCATCAGTCTCTTTAAGACTGACTAAAGGTTCAAGTCTCTTGGCATGTATAATGGGAGAAAGTCTTTATCTCTGCTTTGACAGATAATTTTCTCTCTCCCACAGAGAAGAAAAAGATACAAGAGGATACTTCCTTTTCACTGGTTTATAAAGACCTATTGTTCAAACTCATGACATAGATAAATATATAAAAGAGTTTTCCCTCTCCAATAATCAGAAAGATTTATATCAATAAAATCTAGACTATAATTACCTTCTTCCATTGTTCTTCCCCAGCCACTTACAAAACACTTTGTGTTTGGGTCCAGGTTTTGGAAAACATCAAAAGGGAGACAGATAGGCTGAATATAGTCATCATATGTCACTGCTCTTTGTAAATGAAAAAGAGCAATATCATTTACATAAGATTCTATTTCAAAGTCTGGATGGATAATGATTGTTTTAACTTTTATCTTCTTGGTATTTGGATGTTTCTCATGTATATTATTAGTTCCAATCACAGCTCTCCACATTAAAGGATCTCTGAAAGAAAGCAAATGTTCCCATTACAAACATATTTATTTAAGTAAGTAAATATTCTTAATCTCACTAGTTTTTGTTATTTCTCATATTAGGTGATTAACAAAAAAAATTGAATCCTACTTTCATGCAACATAAAGTCCCATCAAATAAAAACCTAAATATTATGATGGAGGAAAGGAGAAAAAGAACAATGGACAGAAAGTCCAAAAACAGATTCAAGTACATGAGAAATTAATATATGATAAAGGTAGCACTTCTTAACAATGGACAAAAAGATGAATTATTCAATAAATGGTATTGGAATAACTATCTACCTAACTAGTCTTAACAGTGAAATAAAATTAAATCCTCCAAACATACTAAACACTAAAAAAACCCCTCAAAATTGATTATTTAAATACCCAAGTCTTTTAAATAAATATTTCATACTTTTAGAGGTACATAAAATGGTATATCTGAGACTTGCATCAAAATAATTGGAGGGGGGAATCGGTGAGATTAAGATGAAATAAGATCAGGAATGAGCTGATAACTTGAAATGGGGTGATAGTTCTAATAGGAGTTCACTAAACTATTCCCTCTGCTTTTATAAATTTTTGAAATTTTAGAATAAAACATTTGGATATTAAATTACACAAGAATTACAAAAATTAAACCAGAAAGAAAATGTAGTTGAATACATAACATTGATATGAGAAGGGACTTTATAAAACATAACAGTAAATATAAAATAAGCAACTAATGGATCTTGATATACAAAAACCAAAAGGAAGCAAAAAATCAAACCACACCAAAAAATCTTCTGTGGATCAAAAATCAACAAGTAAACCCCTAAATGTTTAATTGTTATTACATCTGGAATTGAATTGGTAATGAGAAACTGTTGTCTACAAATGCTGAAATTTTTTTTTATTGAAGTGTAGTTGATATACAATCTTATATTGGTTTCAGATATATAACACAGTGGTTCATCAGTTAACCATATGATTAAATCCTCACCCCCATGAGTGCAGTTACTGTCTGTCATCTGACGAAGATATTACTGAATCATTGACTGTATTTCCATGCTGTATTCTACTGTCCCCATGACCAACTTTTATGTTTGAGAATTTTAGTGCTCTTTTATCCCCCTCAACCTCCCCAACCCCTCCCCCATGGTAACCATCAATCACTTCTGTGTCTATGAGTCGACTTACAAATGCTGAAATTCTTTTCACCCTCACATTGGCAAAGATTATGTATGTGTGTGATGATAATGCTCAGTATAGACAAGAGTCAGAGGAACAAAGGCACACTCATTCATTGTAGAAAGTGTAAGTAAATGGGTACTTTGGCAATATGTATCAATAGTCTGTAACAATTGCATTTTATTTTACCCTGCAATTCTATTTCCTAGAATTTCTCTCAAGGAAATAGAACATATTTGGTTATCATGAAAGTGGAGATTAGGCCACCTCTAAAAAGGTTGTGAAAAATTTTAAGGTGCTAGTGCTATTTATTTCAAAAAGAAATCACTGCTTTAAGCTACTTTGACATATTTCCTTTCTTTTCCAAACTTACTCAATTTACATTATTTATCCACTGCAGTTTATATTCAGATCATAAGATTATAAAACAAGTTGTATACACTGAAAACTACAAAACATTGCTGAAAGAAATTAAAGACGTAAGTAAATGAAAAGACATGGAATGTTCATGGATTGAAAGACTTAATAATATTAGGATAACAATACTACCCAAAGCAATATATAGATTCAATGCAATCCCTATAAAAATCCCAATGAGGTTTTTTGCAGAAATAGAAAAACCCATGCTAAAATTCATACACTATTAAGGGACCCCCAAATAACCAACATAATCTTGAAAAAGAAGAATAAAGTTGGAGGACTCACACTTCCTTATTTCAAAACTTGCTGCAAAGCTACAGTAATGAAAACAGTGTGTGCTGGCGTAAGGACAAGTAGAAAAGAATAGAGAGCCTAGAAATACACCCTTTTATATGGGATCTATTGATTTTCACTGAGAGTGCCAAGATAATTCAATGGGGAAAGGACAAGGTTTTCAATAAATTGTGCTGGGAAAATTGAATATACATATTCAAAAGAATGAAGTTGGACTCTTACCTTTTGTCATACGCAAAAATTAACTGAAAACAGATAAAGACCTAAAAATAACAGTAATAAAAGTCTTTAAAGAAAACACAGGGGAAACCCTTCGTGATATTGGATTTGGCAATAATTTCTTGGGTACGACGTGAAAATCACAGCCAACAAAAGAAAAAATAGATAAATTTGACTTCACTGAAACTAAAGACTTTTGTGCATCAAAGGACACTCAAAAGAGTGAAAAAACAACCTATAGGAGAGTGTATTTGCAAATTATATTTGATAAAGGTTTAATATCCTGAATATATTATATAAAGAACCCCTACAACTCAACAAAAAAATTGACAGCCCACTTCAAAAATGGGCAAAGGACTTGAATAGACATTTCCCCAAAAAAGATATACAAATGGCCAAAAAGCACATGGAAAGATGCTCAACATCACTAATCATTAGGGAAACGTGAATCAAAACCAAAGCAAGATACCACTTCACTCATTCACATAGTTATAGGAGCAGTGTAAGTGATGAGCTAGGGATATGGGGACTGATACTCTGAATTTACTTCTGATCAGTGGGGGGTATTGGGGACAGAAAAAACAGGTTTCAGAGATACTACAGAGAGTCAGCTAGCCTTCTGGGTAATAGAGCTATTGGTGATGTTATTATGAGAAAATAGAGAAGGAATAGGATTAAAGGAAAGATTTTTAAAAATTCATTTTTGGACTTGTTGAGAATGTGACTCCAATATATATGTATAGTTGGGAGCTGGAAATATGACTCAGCTGGAGAGACTTTGGAGTTGCCAGCACACAAACTGCTGAAACAGAAGTAGATGAGACATCTCTAGAAAAGAGCACAGATGATAAGGCCAAGAGGATAGAAAGTAGAAGTGTAGAAAATATTGCCATTTAAAAGATGACAAAGGCTTATTAAGGAGGAGGAGAAAAGATAAAAAGAGACAGAACGTGGTATCTTAGAAATCAACAAAAGATAATTTCAAGGAGAGCAGCAGTCAACTTTGGCAAGTGTTCTAGAGATCAAACAGGACGGGGATGGAGAGAGGTCATTGACTTTGGCACGGATGTGGATCTTTAATAGTATATTTTGGCCACAAAAATCAGATTGCAATTGGGATTTTCTGAGTCAATGAGCAAAAAGGAAGTATCACTTTCAAGGAGTCTCCCAGTAAAGGGAAGAACAAGAACAGGTAAAGTTTGTTTGTTAAATAATGATGAGGTGATCTAAATATGATTGAAGTATATAGGGAAGAAACGAACAGATTGAAAAATAGCAGAGACATTGAGGCAGCATAGGTTTGAGACCTAGGCTTAAATCAGTGGGCTGCCTCTTAAGAGCAATGCGATCTTTGGCAAGTTAGCAAATCTGTCTGGTCTTTGGATTCCTCAAGTGTAAAATGGAGATTGTAATAGCTTTGCAGAGGGGTACCACTGAGAAGGGCTTTTTAAATTTAGAATTATATGTAACATCCTTAGACAAAACCTAATCTTAGAGCAAGTCTTTGATAAATGGTTGTTATAAAAGGGAATAAGGAATAATTGATGTGCAAGGAAGGGAACAGGAATAGAAAGTGACAGTCCTCTGAGACAGGAGGAAACTCCTGAAACTCAGAGACTGTGCCTCAGTAATATCTACTTCCTCAGCACAGAGTCCTGTTCTAGTGTATTACATACATTCACTAAATACTTGTTGAGTAAAGGGGTAAAAACATCAATAAGATTTAGTCTTGAGAACTGTTAAGTGGAATATGGACATTATATTCAAATGCTTGGAAGAAGAATCAGGTTTTTATATACATGGCTTCAGAAGGCAGAACAAAAACCAACACAATACAACATAAGGAAAAACTTACTTAAGAATTAAGGCTGTCTGAAATGGAAATGAGATTCTTCCTAAGACAATTCAACCTCACAAGAGGTATTTCAAGTACAGAACCATATGATACAATTATGGTTATGTGGGTGGGTTTCAGTCTGACAAACCTGGATTTGATTCCTGATTTTGTTGCTTTCCAGCATGGAACCATGAGCAAATACTTAAGAATGCTGAAGTCTCAGGTCTCCCTAAAGAGCAGTTGTGAAGATTAGTGGAAATTACATATGAAAGAATGCCTGCCTCAGTACATTGAAGCAATAATTATTTCTGACTAGAGAATACATTATTTTAATATTGTAGTTAGTTTTCATATACAGGACAGAGGATTGAACTAGACCTTTAAAATGCCTCTTTGATTCTATGATTCTCTGACAACATAGTGAACCTATATTATTTGACCAAGGTCATACAAATAAGCAGGTTTTTGAGTCTTAACACCACTGCACCACAAAGTGTCAGGGGAGGACTAAGATACAGGTCTACTTCAAACTCCTTGTTCTCCCTACTGTGTCAAAGGAATAGACCAGTAAAGGTACAATGTCAGGACTTAGTAGGCAAGAGGACCTTTTCCAAGACTCTTCATACCAAGTAGGTCTTTCCTCCCTTGGTTTAAGGTTTGAAAGCTGTTGAAAAGCAGTTTTTAAAGATAGCATGTTAGAAAGTAGTTGTTGAACACCCACACCTGAAAGAACAGAATTGACCTCTTTCTTGGTATAAACCCTTGGTTTATACCTTAGTATCTTCCCATTTTTCTAGTCCCTAGTCCTCAAAAGGCCAATTCATAGTACCAAAATGTTTTTAAAATGTAGTATATAAATGGAAAACTTTAGGTACTCCATTAGGCCACTTTACCTTGATTGGATTTTGAAATTCTTGTTAGTTCTTCCTAAAGACTTTTCTAAGACAGCTAGTCTCTTAAAAATTAAAGACTAAACAGAGACCGTATGACAGGTTCCATGGTTTCCTAAAGGATTTATTATAGAGCTTCATATTAAATAGGTTAGGAGGGTTGTAAAGTTTTATTCTAACTGATAAATCCTACTTCTCCAAGACTGACATCATCCATAAACTCAATAAACATTTACCATGTCTCCTATAAAGTATGCCAAGTCCTATACTTGTACCAGGAATATAAAATAAAACATGCAGTCCTTGTCTTCAAAGAACTCATGATCTAATGGTGAGAAAGACAAACACCTGATTACAATATAATTTTAAAAGCTTCATTATTTAAAGAAAGGCCTAAGAAACTCCAACCCACAGTCCAAAAATCTGGCCTGTCTCCTTTTTATATTGCTCATGAACAAAGAATGATTTTTACACTTATAAATGATTAGGAAAAAAACCAAATAACAAAATAATATTTTGTTCAAATTCCAATATTCATAAATGGTTTTATAGGGTCACAGTGAACTTATTCAATTGTTTTGTCTACAGCTGATTTGGTTCTACAGAGGCAGACTTGAGTAGTTGTGACAGAGACCGTATGGGCTGCAAAGCCTTAAACATTTCTTTACAGAAAAGGTTTGTTGACCTCTGATTTAAAGGATTTATTTCAACAAATATTCAGGGTACTGTGTATAAGACATTATGGCTACTTGCAAACATACAGCTTAACTGAATAGGGCTGGAGTCAAATGATTCTCTACATTTCAAGATATCCCCTGAGGATAAACAGGAGGTGTGTTTTGTATACATACCTAAAATCCTTAGTGCAGTGGGCGGCTGTGAGGATCCACTTATTTTTCACTAAGCTTCCCCCACAGACATGAGTAGAAATTTTACCAGGCTGAATTTGCAGGCTAACTACCCACGGCCAGGCGCCACTTTGAGCTACCGTGCCCCCTGTAATGCGAGGCCCTTTCAGCACATCCGCAAGTGGTGCTTTTCCACAATCTAAAAATAAAAATGATATATTATTTGGCTGAACACCTAATAATATTAATTTCTAATCTTAACACATTAATCTTTGAAACTCCTATTTAAAAAACTGATGAATCCAGAGCTACAAGTTCTAATACTTCCTGTTTAACTTGTTGGGTTAGTCTTTCTCAACTGTAGTATGAAGTCACCTAATAGCCCTTTCAACTCTGAATTCCAATGAATCATTAATCTGTAAAATGGGAATAACAAACCGCAGAATGCTTTGAGGAGTATATACAGATGCCCCACATAAGTGAACGGCATCTTTACCATTACCGCTACTTCTACTACTACAGTCTCCTCATAATTGGACTGCTTAGGTCTATAAATTTTTAAGACAGTCGGAACAGAAAAGAAGGGACCCACGTCCCAGCCCTACAAGTGGGGAAAAGGCCAAGGGGGACCGTCCGAAGATACTGCCCTTTGCATCCAACCTTTCCTTCGCCAGGGCCTGGCGGCCCTTCTGCCCGAGCCTCCACCGCATGGCCGCCGGCCGGGTCCCAGGAGGGGCCGCGCCTGCTCCTCTCGGAGCGCGAGTGGTCTGCGAACAGGAGAGCGCTGCCCACAAACAGCGCCGCGCTCAGGAGCCCCGGCCCCATGTCGGAACTCCGGGGGCGCAAAATGGCTGCCAGCACACCCCGCCCGCGCCGCGGTGTGTGAGGCGGAGAGGCGCGAGGGCTGCTCGCAAAGCAGGCGAGGGGCGAGCGGGCGCCGGCGGCCTGTGAGGCGGGCGGGTGCCCGGATGACCCTGGCCTCCGGGGGTAAACCAGCGGGCGTCCGCTTACCGGGCAGCAATACGGGAAGCGCCTGGCGCTCGGCCGCCTCGCCTCGCCTCGCCGGTCAGAGCTGTGCGCTTGCACAGGCCGGCAGGGGCGGGCGGTGCTGGAACCTGGGGGCCGCTAACTCAGATTTGTAGGGCCTTCGACGGAGGCTTGGATTCGAGACCATATAGCCATTATACACACACAGATTGATCTCATTATCAGTTGGTTTGTAGTAGCTTGCCTTCAACCAATCACTTCAGGATAAGCTGATAAAATCAAATTTAAAGACATGCAAAGTTAAGGACAAAGCCTGACTGATGGTGATTGCACCACCACCACCCACAAACGCACTTGCGCATACACCCTCTCCCTCCCTCTCTTTTTTTCTCTTCATCCCCCAGCCTGAGAGATGCATTATTCTTTGCCCTTGTCAGAACCCCTGAAGTGCCCCCTGGCATTCAAAACTGTGAGGGGAGAGGGCACAGATAAATGGCTCCAGTTAATCCACCAAACACACATAGGTATTAACCTCACACTATGTACCAAACACCCGAAATAAGTACCACATCACTGGAGGTGTGTTAAGACCTGGTCCTCTGACCCAGAGAACTTAACAAGTTGGCCAGTGGAGAAAATCAGGACTAATTCACGTGGGGAGCAAAGAAATAAATGGTGACCCTCAAGCCTAATGTTAATTCAGACATAAGATATTGGTGTGAGCTGTGGCGGTCTTGTTGGGGGCAAGTCGGTACAGAGACGCAGGGAAGTCAGAGTACAAGGTGAGGAAAGAATTTATTAAAGTAAGAGTGCCAGGGAATGACAGAACAGAATGATAAAGGAAGTTCATTGAACTGCTACTTAGCATGGGGCACATCCCACACCAACTTCTAAAGCCAATGTCACCTGGGGTTCAGTGTCTGCTTGGATCTGCATGGCGTGGGAACTGAGTCCCTGCCACCCGAAGATTTGGGGGAGCCACAGAGCACTGGATGGAGTGAGATTATGTTCTGCGAACTCCCTAGAGGCAAAGAAAGGAGACTTTCAGGCAGGCTACTAAAGAGTATGGCCTTAAACTACAGTTCTGTCTGGGTCACCCAGGAGACGGTAATTTGCAAGCCCAGATCTGAGCTCTCAGTAGCCCCTCCCAATTTATCTGAAATAGGGCAGAGAGAGTGAAGGTTTGAACTGAAATCCAGGGGATTAGAATGAAAAAGCAGAGTAACAAAGAAGACACCATGGGAGAAGCGCAGAGACAAAACGTTATAAATTGAGCAGTGAGAGGTTTATTTAAAGCAAAAAAGTGCACACTCAAAGAAAGGGGAGTGTAGGCTACCTCAGAGAAGAGGTGCCTGCCCCTAAATTTTAGGGTCTGGGGATTTATAGGTGGTTGAGGATTTTCAAAGGACTATGGGTGTGGACTTGTTAAGTGCTCCCAGAATGTTCATCCTAGATGAGTCATTAAGTTTCTTTTCTTATTAGTTCTCCAGGTAATTCTGCAAAATTAACATAAGAAATTTACTGCTGATTTCTTCCCAGAATAGCAGCTTCCTGGTCTGAGGGCTTATCAATTAAGACAACCTGCCCTGCCCCCAGGGTGGGCCGAGTTATTGTCTGTTTGCTAAACAGTATGTTAAGAATCTTCTTAACTTGGTGGATTTTTTAAAATGCAATTTTGACTTTAAAGTAAAATCTTCCTATCTTTAATATGGTGTTTATAGCTGGGCCTTTTAGCAGGCTGAAGTAAATTTTACAATGGCATGATCTAATTGGCACAATGAAGACATGGGTTATACTGAGATACTTCTCTTTATCTGGGGAATATTCAAACATTTAAGGCCAAGTTGCTCCTGACCTTTTGAGCCTTGACTGATTAACTGATTAACTCTGAGTCTTTTCTCGCTTTCTAGTTTTAACTGGTTAACTGAGTCCTTTCTAGTGGGCTCTACTGGCCTATTCTCTTTCTACTCCGCTCATTTCTATTTTCTTGCCTTACAGTCTGGGAAGGCAACTTGCAGGAGAGGAATGTGAACGTGGCCTAAACTGAAGCTCATGAAGTGGAAGAAGATGTAGTGAGGACAGGCTGGGCAAAGACAGAGGTGTGGGTATGTATCCATGCTTGTTTCTCTAGAGAAACAAAACCAGTTGCATATATAGAGGTATCGAAAGGGAGATTATGGGAATTAGCTTATGCAGTGGGGGCTGAGAAGTCCCAGGATGTTGAAAGGGCGAGCTCCCAGATTCTATTTCAGCCAATTGGGACCCGGATCCTACCTCAGCCAATCAGGACCTGGATCCTATTTCACCCAATCGGAGCTTGGTCTCTCTCCTCTCCATTCAGCAGAGCTCACCCACCACCCTTAGATTCTGCCAATTGACCAGAGCCACGACCTATCACCCCACCAACCACCCCTAGATCCAGCCAATCAGCCAGAGCCATGACCTATCACCCCACCAACTGCCCTAGAACCCCATAAAACCTTTGTGGTATTGAAACTCGCTCTCTTTCTCTGGCGTCTTGCCACTGCGTTGGTGTAGATGAAAGATTGAGCTCGAACTAGCTCGAATACAGGCTCTTTGCTTTTGCATGGGTGTTGGCTCCTTGGTGGTCTTCTGGGATTCTCAGCTTTGGGCACAACAATGTGTCATAAACTGGAGACCTAGAAAAACCAGTGCTGTAATTCAGTCCAACCCAAAGGCTCAAGAACCAGGAGCTCTGATGTGTGAGGGAAGGAGAGATGGCCGTCCCAGCTCAAGAAGAAAGAGGGAGAATTTGCTCTTCTTCTTCTTTTTTGTTCTATTTGGGCCTTTAGGGGATTGGATTCGATGATACCTGCCCACGTTGGGGAGGGTGGATCTTTATTCAGTCTACCAGTTCAAAAGCTAATCTCTCCCAAAAACACCCTCACAGGCACACCTAGAAAGAATATGTTACCAGCCTTAGCCCAGTTAAGTTGACACATAAAATTACCTAGCACAATAATAATCAATGTGTGTATATAATTTTATTTTTACTCTTTTCTGTTATCTTATGGAGACTGAAGAGAGAAACCATGCCTTAAAATTTTTTATCAAAATATGGAAGAGAAAAAGCTAAATTGAAGCCTTTTTCCTGGTTTTGTATTTGACTTGAATCTGCTTTGAGTTCAGAGTCAACATATATGGCTCTTCCCTTTAGATGAGCCATTTAAGATGGCTCTTGTGGAGCCCGCTTCATACATCTGGTGAAGGGCACTGATTGCTCAGCATAGTGAAGATAAATTTGTCAGTATGCAAAGGAAGCTGGGAGAGAAGGAGGAAGGAAAGAAGCAGGCAGCCCAACAAGATGGCATACGACCGACCAGGCCTGAGCCTCAGAGATGTCTGTGAGTGTCAGTGAGCCGGGTCGACCCTGGGTTTTTAAGGAACAATGATGTCTACTGTTCCATTTAAATTGTTTCATCCTTGCTCTCTTGAGCTGTGCTGAAGCTTGCCTCTGTTAACCCCATGCCTTTAGTAACAAGGGGACAGTGTGGGCTGTAGTAGCCTGGTCACATGGTAGAGGATTAAAGTAGGGGCCAGTTGAAGGACAGCCGCCCTGCTCCTGCCGTCCCTCTGAGGTTGTCGTGGTAAGCAGCATTAAATCGAAGGAGGCTATTAATTGGGGCTTACAGGTGGTACCGGTGGGAAAGGGAACAGAAGCTCAGGGCTGAGCTGAAATCAGTGGGTGGGAGGCAGGTGATATTAGAGAAATAAGTTTCAGCATGACATGACCCAGGGGCAGACAAGAAACAAAGTCCCTGTTCCCCGAATAGTTTAGTAGAAGATGATACTTAAAAGGGGTGGTGGGGGGTAGAATAGTTTGGGGGTGTTTCTGTGTGTTAGGATGTGATCAGATTGGCTTTGTAAACTGACCAAGATGACAGGTCTTGCTGCGACAGACAGTAGATTTAACAGATTTCTTTTATACACCTGTTGAAAAACAAGTGCATACACCCAAGTCACAAGGACAATGAAAAATGCAGTGGGTCAGTAAACACAAAGCTTCAATGGTTGGCTTTCCTCTGCTTTTTCTAGGTCTTCACTCTTCTCTCCTGCACTGTCACTTCCTTTCTTTGTGGGATCATTCCCACCAGCAGACAAATATCCTCTGGTGTGGTAGGCAGTCTCTGAAATGGCCTCTAATTAGCCCTGTCTCCCAGTAAGGTATGAACCTTTGTCGAGTCCCCTCCCCTTTAGCATGGGTTGGATTTAGTGACACACTTCTAGCAAATAGAAAGTGACAGAGGTGATGGGCTGTCACTTCCATTATTAGGTTATAAAAAGATTGTAACTTCTGCCTTGACTTTTTCTCGAGCTCTCTTGCTACAGAAGGGAAGCTGGCTGCCACATTGTGAGCAGCTCTGTGTCCCTATGGAGTGGCCTCTAGCAGCAGGCGGTGAGGACCTGAAGTCCTCAGTCTATTGGCCCGTGAAGAATCCAGTCATACCACATCACATGAGCAAACCGGGCAACAGATCTTCCTGTGGACAGTTCTTCAGATGAGACCACAGTTCTGGCTAACACCCTAACCACAACCTCCTGAGAGACCTTAACCCAAAGGTACCCTGCTAAATTACACTCAAGATTCCTGACCCACAGAAACTGTGAGATAACACTTTTTTTTTTAAGCCACTAAGTTGCAGCAGCAGAGAATACATCTTGTTTCTCCTACCCTTGAAGGAGAATGGGGGCATTATGCTGGGGTCTGGGGTGGCCAGGGGCACCCATGGAGGGGCAGGGTTGACAGGGTCTGGAGTTGGGAGTGGTTTTATTCTTCCTATTTGTTCCCTGCTCCACTTGGGATACGTCTAAGTTAG